TGGACTCCAGCGCCTCTGAAAGCAGCCGCAAACCCTCGACGGCGCCCACGACACCCGCGGCCCCGGCGCCACCCGCCGTGGACCCCGCTCCGGCCCTGGCGCGAGAGTGTGTGGTGTGCGCCGACGGCGAGGCCATGGCCGCGCTGGTGCCCTGCGGCCACAACCTCTTCTGCATGGACTGCGCCGTCCGCATCTGCGGCAAGAGGGAGCCCGAGTGCCCCGCCTGTCGCACGCCGGCCACCCAGGCCATTCATATCTTTTCCTAGCGGGTGGACCTCGATGTGGTCGTGTCCTCCCCGCCCCGGCCCCGCTGGCCGCCACCAGGGCGCCCAGGGTGGGCACGGGCAACAGGGCAGGGCCGGGGTGGGACAGGAGAGGGACGAGGGACGGGGGCTGGGCCAGGGCCGGGGCGCGGGTCGGTTTTCACGGACCAGCTTTAACTCTTGGCGCAGGTGTGGAGACGGCAGACCCCGGGGCACCGCACTCGACAAGTGACAGTATTGAGTAGACAGGTGAAAATAAACCAGAGAGAAAAGGTCCGCTTGCACTTTTTATTTAAGACCGGACCCCCTCCGAGGGTGGTCTTTTTAAAAGGAAAAAAAAAATTTTTTTTATCACTCCCGGTGGTCGTTTTGTGCGTGGCAGCCGTGGCCTGTGTCCCGGTTTCAGTGTTTGTTCGGCCGCTGGTCTCAGTACAGACGCTTCCACGAGGAGGGTGCAGACATTTTTACTCCCTTTTTGGGGCTCAACGTTTACCGTTTTGTACATCAGCCACGTGCAGCAGCGGGGACGGGGGTGGGGTCCGGGGGTGTCCCAACCAGAAATTTCTAACTTTTTTTTTTTTAATTATTAATCCCTTCCTACTGCAGTTTCTGTTGTCATTTTTTAAATTTAAAATTTTTTTTTTTTTTTTTTTTTTACTTTTTACCTCTTGTGTATATGTAGGGAATTTATAGGGAAATATGTACTTTATGGAATAAATTTTAAGAACTAAAATATATTTTATTTTAAATAAAGTAATGGACCTTTAATCTTACACAGCTAAATTACTGATTATATATTTGCTGAGCTGATTTAAGGGTTTAAAAAATTGTATCAAGAGTTTTATTTTTTGACTTCAAAGCCTTAATAAAGTCTTTTTACTACATGTGAGCGCCCGGCTTCAGCGTGGTATGGGGACGGTGGTCGTGGGGGCACTGCTCTGCCCCCCGAAATTCTGGGGTCCGGGCTCTGACTCTGGCCAGGCTCTATCTTGTTCCAGATGGGGGGATTGGATTTGTGGATGGATTTGGTCCAGCTGGGTCCCCCTTTCCTGAGGCCTTGGTCCCCCACATCCCAGTGGGTGTCCAATCATGGGGACACCTGTGGCTTCCACCGAGGGAGCAAAGCCAGGCTACCCCTTCCTCAGGGGACATCTACCCAGCTCTGTGGTGTGTGTAGAACCCACCCCAGCAGCCTGGGTCCACCAGTCATTGTGCAGATGGGGAAACTGAGGTCCAGAAATCACCAGATGAACCACAATCTTCCTCATCCACTCACCCCAGGGACCATGGCCCATGGGGCCACCAGACACAATTATTTGGGCTGGGGTTGGGGTTGAGCCCAGGAGGTGAGGACGGGGTCACCACAGGTTGGGCCTTTGGTGGTCAATGGACACCACGGATTCTGAAGGAGGGAGGGAAGACCCCAGTGTATGAAGCATGGTGGTATGGTGACAGCAGCTGCTGTGGGGACAAGGCAGGAGACCGGACTGGCGCTGGCTTGAGGAATGGGCAATGGGGAGTGACGGGGACAGAGCCCTTGAGGAAAACTAACAAGTGGAAGGCTCGGAGGGCTTCCAGGAGGAGGCAAGGGGGCTCAGGGGCCAACAGCTGCTCCAAACCTGGTGGGAACGAGTGGCCAGAGACAGTCACCTGGGTTTGAGCAGTCCTGCCTGGCCCCTGGCCTGGAACTTCCCCATCTGTAAAACAGGGATACTCCTAGGTCCAACCTCCTGTCTCTTTGAGGCTGATGGGGAGGATGTGCAGTGGGTTGAATGGTGCCCCCCCCCCACAGTATATGTCCCCTGGAAGCTGTAAATGTGACCTTATTTGGAAATAGGGTCTTTGTAGATATATTAAGAATCTCAAGATGAGATCACCCTGAATTAGGTTGGGCCCTAAATCCATATAAGAAAGAGGCAGAGGGAGATTTGAGACTCAGACACACACACGAGACCACGTGAAGACAGACAGACTGAAGCGATGGACGCCTGCAGCTTCTGCAGCTGGAAGAGGCGGGAAGCATCCTCCCCCAGAACCTTCAGCGGGAGCACAGCCCGGCCTCACCTTCATTTCGGACTTCTGGCCTCTAGAACGTGAAACAGTTTCTGTTGTTTAAGCCACCCAGCTTGTGGCACTTTGCTACAGCAGCCCCTGGAAACGAAAACACAGAAGGCAACACTTAACCCAGGCCTGGGGCACAGGTCAGTGGCAGAGCAGATGGGTTCAGCTACAGTGCCCAGGGGGACCTGGGGTGAGGTCAGGCCTCAGCTACACAGCAGCAGAAGGCTGCTGGGGGTGGGGTGGGGTGCACAGATGGCCCTCCAGAAGTCTAGCCAGGAAGGGAAAGAGAGTGAGAAAAAGCAGCCCCTGAGGGGACAAGACGTCAAGGGCAAGACAGGACTTTGAGGGGGGTGGGAGAGAGTCTTTGGAAGGAAGGGAGGGGGTGGGGCCCAAGGGAGGGTCCTGCGGGGGTGGGAACAATGGAGGATTTGGTCCCGGTGACTACAGGTAGTTGGGGGTGTCTCAGGGTGACTTTGCCTCTGTGGAGATGCAAATGGGATCAGCTTGTCAGCTAGCTGCTGTAAGTTTGGGGCGAGAAGAGGCCCCCAAAACTGGGAGGAGGGACTGGGATGACAGGGGAAAGTGCTTGCATTCTGGAGGGGGTGGGTGGATGGATGATGGGTGGTTGGGTGGGTGAGTGGATGGATGGGTGGGTGATTAGGACCTCTGCCCTCTCACACTCTCTTAGCACAATTTCTGAGTATGCTGGCATTCCTCTCTCCACTTCCCTGGCTGTCTCTTGGTTGTCTGTCCAGCAGTCACGGAACCTGGCTTTTAAAGAAATCCTGGGCCGGCCCGTGGCTCACTCGGGAGAGTGTGGTGCTGATAACACCAAGGCCCCGGGTTCGGATCCCATATAGGGATGGCCGGTTTGCTCACTGGCTGAGCGTGGTGCTGACAACACTAAGTCAAGGGTTAAGATCCCCTTACCGGTCATCTTTATAAAAAAAAAAAAAAAAGAAATCTTAAAAATTATACCTGAAAAAACATGTATATATAGAATGGCTTCAAACTCAACCCCACAGCACACAGTACCACCGTCTAGGTTGTGTTTTCACACCTCTGTCCACTACGTGTTGCTTTAAAAGCATTTTAGAGTCCGCATAGCAGACATGGTTTCCCTAGCTGCTTTCCTTTTTTCGTTGGTGGCTATTTGAATTTAAATGACCATTCAATGAAGAACAAAATTCAGTTTCTCAATTGGAGTAGCCTTGTTCTAAGTGATTGATCATATGTGTGGCTGGCGGTTTCCATATTGGACAGCACGGATTTACAACATCCCCATTAATGCAGACAGCTCAATTGACTGGAACATTCTAGAAGACTCTAGAAAGATCCAATACAGTAGCCACCAAGCACATGTGGCTATTTCAATTTCAATTCTGTTGATTGCTGCAGTCCAGTACATGCTGATGTGGTTTTCCAGGGGTGAGATAGGCTGTGGTAAAAACAGGGGCTCCCAACAAAGAGGTCTGTGCATGGGGTGGATGAGACGGAGAGGCCACACCCAATTCACCCTTTCAATCTTGTTTCCCACTATTTTCACCTGTTCCCCTGACTACTTTTTGTTCTCTAAATGTGCCCAGCGGCACCACCTCCAGGTGGCTTTCCTCCGACCCCGCCATACAACCAATCCCTCTGTCTAGCCTCTGCTGCATGCCCAGGCAGAACTCATCTCTCTCTCCTCTGAGCTCCTAATCCCTGGGACCTGTGGATATGTCACTTTATGTGGGAGGAGGGATGGAGTTAAGGACCTTAAGATGGGAGGACATCCAGTGTCCTCACAGGGTCCTCATGAGGTGGCAGAGGTTCAGAGGCAGAGACTGGAAGATGCTGCACTGCTGGCTTTGCAGACAGAGGAAGGGGCCACATGCTGAGGGCTGCAGGCACCTCTAGAAGCTGGGAAGGGAGGACACGGGTCCTCCCCTGGAGCCTCCAGGAGGGACCAACTCTGCCCACCTCTCGATTTTAGGACTTTTTATTTCCAGAACTGTGAGGGAACAAATTTATGGTGTTTAAAGTCACTGAATTTGTGATCATTGTTACGGAAGCTGTAGGACACTCATACGGCTATGCAACAAGTTGCCCACCTCCTTGAAGAAATAGCTGGTCCCACGGCTTAGACAGGGAAAATACAGATGAGCCTGAGCCATTTCCTGGTGCTAGAAAGTAAGGATGTGCAAAAACAAACCCACAATGACACAGCCATGTCAAAGGGACACAGGTGCTCTCAGTGGCCAAAGCTGCAACAATTCATCCTGGAAACCACAGGACCCTCAATTCGTTAGAGTTTCAGATAAACAATGCATCATTTTTAGTATAAGCACATCCCAAGTCTTGCTTGGGGCATCGTTATGCCAACCGATGCCTCGTTACTTATCTGAAATGCCAATTTAACCAGGCATTTTGTATTTTTATTTTCTAAATGTGATAATTTTATGAGGAATGGAAGAGAAAGGGGGGGTGACCCTCTGATTTGCAGTGAGAATTATAAACCAGAAAACATCATCCTGTGGGTCCTAAATTACAGACAGGGATTAGAGAACACAGACCGGAATTAATTGCATAGGTATTTATTGGCATTGACTGAGTGCCTTGATTCCTGGCAGAGCCTGCAGTGGGTGGGTTTGCTCTGGGGTGGGAGCCAGGATGAAGCCTTAAGCCTCCCAAATACATCTGCCCCTCCCCAGCCCCTCCACAATCCCCAGTCTGACCCCATCAGCGTCCAGGTGGGACTAGAACGGCCTGTCCTCTGTCGCCACTGTGTGGCCAGTGCTGCACACGACACCCTGCCCTGTGACATCCTCTGGAGCCGAGAATGCTGGGGACATTCTGGATTATTCGTGTATGGTGGAGATTCAAGCTCCTTTGCCCCAGTCTGTGAGCTCCCCCAGGGCACGAGGCACCCCCTTTTCACCTGTCCCTGCTGACTGACCCTCGCTCAGCGACTCAGCGCTGGCACACAGTGGGGGCTCCTAACTTTTTTTTTTTTTTTTGGCATCTGGCCGGTCCAGAGATCCGAACCCTTGAACAGGCCAGCCAAATGTTTGCTGATTGAATGAGTGACTATCACAAAGAACTCAAGCGTTTCCTTTACCCAGAGCAGATCCCGACTCATCCAGCTTCGGGGAGTGACACAGCCACCTAAACACCCCACCCCACCCTGTGAGAATTTTGCTGCTATCCTCAAGGCAGAGGACTCTGGCTCACTGGCTTTTTTCATTTACACAACATTTGTCTCCTGAGTGGTGGTGAGCATCTTGCTTCTCTTGCAGCTGGGAGCCCTCAACAGGCCATTTGATGAAATGGGACATGGTCCCCCCAGTGAGGGGCAGGAGGGCACAGGTCCCAGGAGAAGTTCTGGATGCCAGACAATCCTTGGGTGTGAAGATACACTTGCTTATTTTCCCACCTGAAAATAGAAGTTGAGATTTGTCAGTGGAGACTGGAGAACATTTCACCGATTTACATGATTGAAAGAGACCTAATGGGTTTTGAAAGTCATTTTCAACTCCCTCAGCCTGGTGATCATGGTGAACGTCACCCGGAGTTCATCATGTTGACAGC